CTTCCCAGCCAGGAACATCGAGTTCCATTTCATCAATATCATCTTCGTTTGGTAAATTGTTCAAGGCTTCCTCAGACCTGGAATCCGATCGCTGCTGAATAGCTTCCTCTCGAGCTACTCTTATCTCTGCTCTTCGTTCCTCCATCTTAACCCGTCGTTGTTGTCTAGTTATATAAATGTCCCACAGGGAGATGGCATATCTCGCTGCAGTCGAAGTCGACAGGATTGATAGGATGGCAAACTCGAATCCAAACATCACCATCATATCCGGACGAGCCTGGAGCATAACGGTTTTCACGGCATATTCGAGTAAAAGGCCGTTGAATGTCACCGACAAAATGAGGGACAGAGTCAGCCGTGTGTGAAAAAGGCGGGGGTTTTGCGGCGGCTGTTGTTCCAGTATTTCGACACGACCCTCCCCGATCCATCCCCAAACCTTTCCAATGAGAAGGCAGACAAACATGGCCAAGAACCAGGCACCCAGGTCGCCGCGAAATGTAGTCATCGCAAGGCATGTTTCCATTACCGCGAACCAAGCTTTCTCATAAAGCTGTTCCGTTTCGATGGGGCGGAGGGGCCCGTACAGCAACCTCTGTAATCCATATAGTACGAATCCGACGACCATTAGACAAAGGTTCGTTAGAATCTAAGTGCCAGTCAATGTCAGCCGTTGATCCAATCTTCAGATTCCTGTCGGCAACGTTTACGTACCATAAGGTTCGCATTGCTCTGAGACAGATAAACGCAAGCGGAATAGAAGTTTGCTCGCTGGTGCAAAGCTTTAAGGATGACACCGGCAGCCAAGGCCGTCGAGACCTAAAACGCATTTAGAATCGGCTTTGTGGATTTCAGGACACAAGAATATATCATACCCCAGCATAACCTGCTAATCTCATTGCGTGAAGGGCTCAAGTGCACTCGGTCCCAGGGGAGGCTTATACCAAGGAAAAGAAAGGGATACCCAAGGAAACAGAGACTTATTGAAACATAGTTAAAGAGAAGAGTGAAGCAAACCCAGTGGGTTTTCCCGTTGCCTACAGTTCGTTGATTCGAATATGGTTGCGCAGAAGATCAAGACTGACTATGTACTGTGTTGGCCAGCTATCAACCATTAAGTTAAAGAACAGCTGAGGGAAGCCGTGGGGCCAATCAGAGAGCTGAATTTGGACTTAATGACTAAGCTCCAGGTCACGTGGTATTAAAAGCTTCCGAAATGCCCATCTACACAACTCTCCCTTTTTCACCGAATATTGGAAGGAGATAGAAACCTGTAGAAATATACGGAGTATCCTTTTGTTTGCTATTTCTTCTCAAAACAGACTCTGTAGATCTATAAATAATCGGGAAATGGGATCAGAGCACTATCACGTGATGTGATCCTTCTTAGATGCGCTAAGCTGTTAAACAGATAGCGCCAAACCTTCCAGAACCCCACGTCAACGCTTACATAATTTCCATATCAATCTCAATCTGATAACCGAGTTGGTTGCATCAGGCTTATGCCGTTCGCATCGTCCAACATACAAATGCTGAGGTGTCAATTACAATATTCAGTCGCTCCAGTTTGGTTGAGGTAATAATTAGAATTCTCTTTCCAGGTTATTCCGGTGCTTGTTTAGTGCTCTATTTGAATTGCAATGTTAACTGAAACATTGCAGGGGCGTACCAAGCCTCCACCGAACCCAACGTCATGATGTTTACCGCGACCAAATTGCAAACCGCAACCTATCTTCTGGGTGTTTGCCTCTTCTCAATCTCCTTCCTCGTCTTTCTAAACTCCTCAATATCCTTTGTGGTCACAGACCTAATCAATCTCCCAAGCGGGGAGGGAGATGCTGTTGGTACTCTCGGGTTTGCGGACGAGCTATTTGCTCTCATAGCTTGCCCGGTATGGGGAATACTGTCGGATCGGATAGGGGTCAGATATGTGAGTTCAAGCTTTCCCGGATCGCCATCTCAATGAATTTACTTACATATGAGTCAAGGTATGCACGGTTGGGTACGCGATCATTGCGCTGGCATTGGGCCTTATCGTGCAAGCACGAAATGTTTATCCGCAGCTCCTCCTAGGCCGACTCCTGTTTAGCCTTGGTGGATCAGCGGTAACCACTATGGTAACTGCTGTCCTCCCAGCTATAACAGCAAACCATGGCTGCTTGAGTAAAGTCTCCTCAATAAACCAAAACTCCGGAGAACCTACACCCAGTCCTCCTCGACCTGGAGAATCTGAGAGATGCAGCGGCCATGCACCCAGACCATCTCACTCTTCAGAGTTGGCGATAACTCCTGTCCTTTATCAGATGGGTTTACAAAGTTCAGAAGTAGTCGAAAAAGCACCAGAGAGGAGCTCAACCTCACATTTAGCTGGTATTGTCGGTATGCTTACGGGCTGCGGTGCCGTTGTCGCGTTGTTGATTTTTCTCCCTCTCCCAGCATGGTTTGAAAAGTCTGGGCAATCTGCGGTTCAATCAATCAGATTAAGCTATTACATAGTTGCTGTGCTTGCATTTATAGTTTCGTTAGCCTGTCTTATTGGCCTACGACATTTGCCTGATGATCGGTACACGGGCTGGAGGTCACTATTCAGATCGCCTAAGGCTCATCCATCGGACGAATCAGAGCCTACTACAACCTCCAGATCATTCTTATTCTCATTGTTTCCAAAAGCATACCTATCACTGTTCAGCGCAGCGTTCCTCCTTGGATTCAAGCAGCCAGGTATCGGACTAGCTTATTTGGGTGGATTTGTTGCTCGAGCCTCTACCGTTGCCATTTCTCTATTCATTCCCCTGTATGTGAATCAACATTACAAACATTCTGGCCTCTGCCATGGGGGGCCAGATAATATCCAAATTCATATATTGGAGACAGATCAGAGTGGAATAAGAAAGTCATGTCCCAAGGCCTACATCGTGGCCTCAATTCTTACTGGTGTTGCACAACTTATCGCTCTGTGCTGCGCACCAATCTTTGGTTATTTCTCAGCAAAATCGACTCGACACAACATCCCCTTACTCTCCGCCGCTCTGATTGGAATTATTGGCTATATTTTTCTTACCCTCCTACCAACCCCTCAGATACATGGCCCTGAAGGAAGCCCAGTCATCTTCGTTTCCATGGCATTCATTGGGATTAGCCAGATTGGTTCGATCGTCTGCAGCCTTGCAGGTCTCAGCATCAGCGTCATTGAATCCAATCAACTCCGAGATGCGTCGTTAGAACATGGCTCGGAAGGACGGCAAGTTCATTCAAGGGGCCAGACAGATTCAGATGGGCCACTAGGCGCCAGGACTTCAGTTACAAATGAACAATCTACTCTTCTTCCAAAGCCGATGTCGCCGTCTGCAAACGCCAACAACCTAGTCCATCTCAAGGGGTCTGTGGCTGGGATGTATTCCCTATACGGAGGCGCAGGCATTCTGATCCTCACGAAAGTGGGGGGTCTCCTATCAGACAAAGTTTCCCCCAAATCGCCGTTCTACATTCTTGCTGGCTTCAACGGAGTGCTTCTGGTAGCCGGTATCGTAATTGGTGCGTGGCAGAAGTGGAATTCTCTCAAGGGCCTCTAGTGAGTGACCTGCCATCCCCAGCCCTCCTTCGGCGACAACGGTTAAATCTCATTTTATTCGAACATTCCTTTTTGACAGCTCTTATCACATACATAGGAAACTGCACTTATCTGCTCAACAGATTAAAGGAAAGGGATTAAACGTATTTTTCTACACCATTATGTTGCATGTTCCTGACGAAGGACAGAAAGTGAGAGTGCAACTCTCTGTATGCCTGCCTTCTTTTATTGCTTAATTAGTTGCATATAAAGTTAAAAAAAAAAGTTTTATCTAAACGGCTAGATTACTCAGGGGTAGGGTTGAGTTTGATTTACGAGAAAATCACTAAGAAGACGGTAAGAAAATTCCTATAGAATTTAAAGAAAATTTTATCAAAACCATATAACAACATCGACGAGAAGACTACACACGGAGAACATTGCTCATTGCTCCAAATATAATTATAGAAGAGCATCTTAAATAGACACTTTTCATTTCATCGCCATGCCAGCATCCTACCCCAGACTAGAGCTGTTTCATAACAACATTCAAACCCACCTTTCTCCTGACTACGGAATGTTTCTATCCAAGACAGCAGTCGCGAATAAAACAATCAATGGAAACCCATCAAAAAAATACTTAAACCTGTTGGATTTGGAACTTGATACATGAGTACAAATAGATGTAAGCGGCAATTTGCAGGAATTGAAAGCTCGTTTCTCTCGCAATGCTTTTCCTCTTGGTGGTTTGATTGAGGTTAGGTTTATTATGGAGCGAGGGATGCGTAATGGAGTTCTTCTCTCAAGGAAATGGTTGTGGAACATCTGTTGGCTTTGTCATGGACGTGGCAAAATGTTATGTATATTACCTACACATTCCGATTCATGTTGGCGCGAATGAGGGGGTGCATATATGTACTGATATGCACGACATACATGAACGGGACATGGACATACATTGGAAACAGGTGTCCTCATTACTAAAATATACATGCAGAACGGTAATGCACAACCTCTTTACACAGAAAGATCCCGTAATATGTGTGATAATCTTGCAGAAAACGCCCTAGCAGAGAGCCCCAATGGTTTGTGGTTTGATAGCTCTGGACAAGGATACAGAACCCTATGCATCATAATCCATACGAAGATGCCAGATACAGATGCACAAAACTGTTGTAAAATGACATCTCATAAGAGAGGATTGGTCAAATATTGGAAAAGTACCAAACCTGTTTTCAAGCTTAGTTACCGAGACACGGAAAAAGAAAAAGAAAAAAAAAAAATCCAATAGAGGGTCGTCGAGCTTCAGAAAGGATAACTTTACAAACATTGACCGAAGTTCTCTGTTATGTTGTTATGACTGTTGTTATCAATGGATGTTGCCACTTCTTGGCCCGTACCAGTCCTCCGCCCCAGGGAATCCCTTGCAGGAAGTTGTGCAAGCCTCCCGTTCTCACAAGTCGAAAGCCAACATAGGTGCGACAAGAAAATCGAAAGCGGCGCCAGAGCCTAGAGGAGAAAAGGGTCTCCAAGCACGGGCGATGACTTCTCCTTCGGCTCCGCCTTCTCGAAGTTTTTGTGTGGCTTTAGCTTGGGCTGACTGGGCCGCTATAAGCATGATCGTGTTCGGGTGATGTCGTGCATGTATGAGGACAAGGACATGCCGCCTGCCTGCAGAAAGGTCTGAAGAGGAGGTGGGCACCGGGAACTGGCTAACCATGGATTATGTTCTAATAGTTTTTTTTTTTTTTTTTTTCCCAAAACGAACTGCCGCTGTAGCAGTGGCCTGTTGTCAATGAGATGATGCAGATATAATCAGCAGTCTGTTCATAATTTCACTTTCACTTTCATATTCTGGTTCCCGTCTTTCCCCCCTTTTGATCAATGGGAACCGTGTTTTGGTTGAAGGTAAGAATAAAATGCATTCAAATGTAACTCATCTCTGCTACGATTAGTGTGAAATCTAAATTAGCTTGGATCTTCAGTGATGTTGAATCCTGGCGGCTTGACATCACCAATCTTGATCGCCCAGAAAATACGAACAGGCTAACAATGGTTGAACATCAAAAACGGCTGTCCCGCGGGAGACGAATGAAGTTGAAATAACATAGCCAAGTGCACTCTGAGCTCATGCATGACAAGTTAGTTCACTAGGCAAGCGAATGTTATTTAATTTTAGCGTGTAGTGTGATATGGCGGATGTTGATCAGGGAGCTCCAGTAGTGGACGAGACGAAATGATCTAGTTTATAACGAGAATATAAAGTTAATAATTCCAAGGCCCCGCCACCGATGCATGAAAAAGCAATATATGTGGAAAAAGAAAATAGAAGAATAGAAATAGGTTAGGAAACCGCGGGAGTTAATTAATCACTCCAGCTGTGATTTAATGCAAGCATGGCATATTGCAACAAGCAAACTAAGGTTGGAGAGCTAATCAACGTTCTGGAAAGCAAGTTCGATGCTAAGGAGCTAGCTCATCAGGCTACTTGAGACAGTCTGAAATGAAGCTTTTCTGATTAACATGCAGAGCTAATATGTTCCAGAGTTCAAGAACGGCGTTTTGAAACACCCACTGTTGGTAGGGACAGTGGAAAGCGAGACATTGTCGGAGACTCTGAGCAAAGAGCCATAGAGGAAGGTTGGGTTCGAAATGGTCGGAAGCCGAAACGTGGCTTTTCATCGACCATGGAGAGCATGGAGGGTATGGAAAGCAAAGATGTGAGAACACGATCGACACGGCCTGTGGCGTTCTGATCACGGAGTGCCAAGTTTGTCAAGATTTATGCGACCACTCATATTGTCGGAATGTTCAGACACATTCGTGACATGCCCCAGTTTGACGAATCTGAAGAACATGTTTGCATTTTCTTAGAAGCTTAACTTTGTGTGGGGTGTCAAACCCCAATGCGACCCGCGATGTGAGGCCTGAAATTTCTCAAGGAAGGCGAGTGGGTCGCTGAAAGATCCATGCAAGCCTGAGTCATATAACCAAGAAAGCATTTTCATCGAAAATTCTAGAGCAACACGGACAGCAATGGCTGGTACTAACATGATATCGGACCAGCGAGAGAGCATAGCCATATGCAAGGAGCCGAATTATTCTGAGATATACTGAAAGGTTTGACGTTATGTAAGGGGTTTGCATCAAACCGCCAAGTATTGCAGCATGCCCCCTCGTTTTATGGCGAAGAAACAGTGCTAAGGCTCCAACCCATGGTATGGACTGTTTGATTCAATTGCCAATTCCAAATCAGAATTAACCTCCATGAAAGTCTGAATACATTTACTTCAGGGATTATGGAAGTTCAACGGGTGTTCCATGCTTTCGAGAGAAGAAAAGATTGGGCCACTGTATCAGCTGCAGGAGAACCACATGCCGGGGTAAAAAAGATTTTTAACGGTCGAAACGTCTCCAATTCTCCGAAATATGTCGTATAGAGGCTGAAATGATATAATGAAGTCACCATCATCACCACCATCAGAAAACGGAATGCATTTTCAACTTCATTGTCAAAATCGATTCCCACAACATTTCGTTATTGTTCTCAATCTCAATTCAAGTAAAGCGAGAATCAATCCAGCTACCTATTGCTGGGTGGCTGACTCGAAAATTGTCACATCCACTTTCGAGTAAGTCTGAATTGACCATCAAATATTCATCCAAACGAGGTTGTATGTCTAATATATCAATATCAGGCTATTTCAATACAAACAATTGCCCCAAAGTGGTACCGAGTTTTTTGTCAACAAGATACATCCCTGAGATGACACTCTATTCGAGACATTTTTAGCTGGCTTGACGACAATTTGTCCAGAGTATCCAAGATTCGTGCCGTGGTCGTCAACAAGAAACACTTCTCCGGAAGATTATCAACTGAGGCTTATCGAAGTTCGCCCGTGTTGGCGAAGTGGGATTTATCTTCCCTGAGACGAGAACGACTCAGGAATAGGCCCCGGGTGGATCAGCCCCTTTGGGAGTCAGTTTTGTGGGGGGTAGATAATACTTCTTCAAAAGAGCTAAGCGTACCAAATGGCTTTATCCCGACGATTGACCTACTTAGATGGATTCACTGGCCACGACCAATTGCAAATATCTAGATGGGGACCCACGCCAAACATTTCTACGACACAAGGGATATGGCACGTAAAGGTGCCGCCACAAATTCCTCAACGAGAAGATGACTTTGGCCCTCATCAACAATTCTTAATTCCAGCAAATAAACCTGAAATCTTTGATTCCAGCTCTGCGATGGCCACGGGATTCAAAAACCTGGGGAGGAAATGTGATCCTGGGAAATCCATCGAATCACAAAGTCAACGTCACTGGTTCTCTCAAAATGTCGAGACTCGTTTGGGCGATCTTCAGGGGTCAGCGATCACTTCGGAGACAAGTACCGGATGGGAAAATTTAGCGGACTATAATCCAGGAACCCAACTGTCCTCATTCGGCCTTCCAGCAGTTCTCCCGAAGAAATCAGGCTCCAACTATTCGAATGTGCCGATAGTGGAGCAATCCCTAATGAAAACTCCCTTCCAATGGATAGCTCCAAACAATTCCGCCCATCCCGGTATGCGCATAACGGAGGTTCAACACCACAACCCAAGGATAGGGCCCCAGAAGCAAGCAATCACAAGTTGCCACAATAGCTGGCAAGAGAATGAAAGAGCCAGGAGTGTACCTGTCGAGGAGGGCCTCCATCAAAAGGGAGACATGCACTCGGGATGGAGTGAGCCCTTGGATGGAAGGGCATGCATGGTTCTTACTTGTGCAACAGACACGAAAGTCAGCTCAGCATGTTCTGCAGCGACTGAGTGGATAGAGCAAATTTGTAGCAGAGACATTGTCCCAAATTTCGACAAAGGGGCACAGAGTTTCGTTCAACAACCACAGCGATGGACTGGTAATACAGACCACAATTCATTTCGCCCTATGGCAACTCACAATAGTCTATCAATTGCACAAGACGATTGGTGCGAGTGGCACACAGCTCCTCTCAACCATCAGCGGAGCCCGGATTCTTCATTCTCATCATGTTTTACCCCAGATACTACGCATAAGGCCCTGAATTTCGATTCACCGAGTTTCCGTGACGCGAACGCTCCCTTCGAATACTTTGATCTTAATTCGACTCAGGGAAAGCAACCTGGATGCCATGATCACCTTTCTGAAGTCAAGTCCTTCGAGACAACCACGACAAAACAACTAGGGAAACTCCGAAGGATGAAAACAAGTGAAAACCGAACAACAACAGCAAAAGTTGGTCCCCAGCGGAGCAGCGCAAAAGATGAATTTCTAGTCCAAGGCAAGCGTTCAGGGATGTCATATAAAGAAATCAAAGAAAAGGGAAATTTCTCTGAGGCCGAGTCCACGTTGAGGGGCCGTTTCAGAACGCTCACCAAAAAGAAGGAGCAGCGAGTAAGGAAGCCGGGATGGCAAGAGAGCGACGTGAGTAAATTCTCCTTCAAGGGCAAAGAGAACATTTCAACGCAATATCACTAACAAAGAAATGGTCCATTTGCAGTTACGCCTACTTTGTGAAGCTGTCAGGAAGTATGCAACCCCTATAAGAAATATTCCGGGAGATGACATCAAATCTCCCAAAATATCATGGAAGCAAGTAGGCGAACATATTTGGAGAAATGGAGGTTCATACCATTTTGGCAATGCGACTTGCAAGAAGAAATGGTCGCAGATACAACAGGGTATGATAGTGTTATCCCCAAAGCGTCAGTTTGGTTTATCGATTTTCAGATAAAAAAGGTTTGGAGAACCAGGTGGGAGGAAACCTCATACCCACCGTCGCACTCGCGTTTATGTATAGTCTAGTATATAAAGTCCACCGTAATTTTTTTTTTTTTTTTGTTTTTGAATATATATATATATATTAGACTCTGGTGTATTTTGTTCCTCAAGCAACTGCAATTTGGATACGTTCTTATTAACGGCGTAGTGTGCGCTCGAAGGAGAACGGATTGGACACATGCGTCAATGACTTTTCAATTCTTTATTAGTTTGTAGTCGGTTGAAATCCGGTACGATATAGCGTGCAAGTATGTTCCATATTCTGATAAAGCGTAGGTCGACAAATGGGTTGCTGAAATCGGAATTTTGCTACGACCGAAGATCGGGATCTGGATATCCAATCGTTTTCAAGGCAGATTCCAGAATTCTAGGTTGATTTCTCAAAGCATCCCATTCAGCTTCTACTTTGACCATCAATGTCCCGGCTAAAATAGTGCCGTTGAGCCTAATCAAGCCGACTTCTCGTGACTTATTTTGATCCTTCGAATCTATGGGTATCCATGTAGATTCGCTCCGTCGTGGGCAAATGACCATCCGAGTTGTAGTCATGGATAAATTGTAGCTGATAGCAGAGGGGCCTTCGGTTTTCAGACTTTTGTGGTCCTCATTTTTTGATTGAGGTCCAGCTATCCCTTGCGCCGCCCTCACGGCCATTCGGTATAACTGTATGTAAGACTGATGTAACTCATCTGCGGACGGCTCGCCTGGAAGATTGACCGCATAACACGCAAAAGGCAAATTAAAAGAGTTTGGATAATTGAAATCTCCGTATGCAGAAGAAGAATTCCCATCTATCAACGGTTTCCATTGCTCGTCACCCGCCTGTGTCATCCGTTCCACGGGTAGGAACTGTAGATGTCTGTGGGGTTGACTGGCACCACTGTGTTCCCCTGAATTAAAAAAGGCAAACAGGCGCTTTGATCCCTCAGGTCCGTCATGTTTCTGCCATGCTTTCAGGCATTGAAACGTTGCTAGGAGGTCCTCCTTCTCGAGCAAATCGGTTTGCGGTTTGAAGGCCTTCGTTGCAATTATGAAGTGGTCCGGGATGACGGGGAACTTATTTAAGACCAATATGTGAGACGGTTCAGATAGGGGAAATTGGGTGATGAGAAGGTCCTCTGGAGGGTCATGGAATGGATCTAGCTTCAGGATCACGGTTCTTTGCTCCGCATTGTGCGCCGGGTTATTGACTGGCTTCCCTGCAAGCGCAGGACAATATCTAACTTGGAACTGGTATGGCATCAGCAATCAATGGGCTTTCCATCATTCCATGGCTGGCCAGCTTGGAAGTGTCGGAACTGACATACTAGAATATTAGATACCGATATCGTGGTGACTTCGGTCGGCGAGAAGATCAGCGCTCCCGACTGCTTAGCAGCAGCGAACCGTCTTGCGACGAGTGCTGAGAGATTTTCTGTGAGACCAGAGAGCATGGTAGGCAATGGTAGAGGACACACACCGGTGTTTTGGCCCAGGGAATCTATATTTGCAACTATTCATTGGTACAGAATAATTGAAGTTGTCGAATTATCGAGGTCGCTGATAGCCACGGATGTCATTGCTTGGCGCTACGACTTCGGGGTCCAATCATCTAACTAAACGAATCCAACAACAAACCAGCCAACAATGACCACTCCGCACAAACGTCTCTTGCTCTCTAGAGATATTTGACCAGAATACGTCCCCGCCCGGAACTTCCATGCAATATAGCCTCGGGAAAGGGTGTGGAAAGTTATCAGCATTCCTTCTAACCACCCAAGCCATCAACGCCACGATGATGCTAGGGCGAATAACTCACCCAGTAAATCCAAGTCAGTCCATTGCAGTGTTGCGCAGGCAAGCATGAAAGAATGACATTCAATTTGATTCTCAAGCTTTGGTAGGCTCTCAACCTTTTGCACTGTGATGTCTCCATGATTGACATATTTTCATGTAACTCACCAACCAGACGTCTTGCTGGACACTTGTTACTGTGTCACAAATATCCAAGAATATCACCAACTGACGATGATATACACCATCTCCCCAAAATATATACGCATACCATAAACATTCGATATCAGACTACAATCATATCATGTTGTTTATATTTTAGAGCTATCTTTCCCTATCACAGCTGCGACAAAATCCCACATTCCTTAAGGGGCTTAGTAGGGAATTATGAAGACAAACTTCGTGCCCATAAGCCAGAGAGTTGAACTAGTTAAAACATGCCTCAGGGATGATGATTATTTATATAATCCACATTGCCGGTTCTGAGAGACTAGGAATGGTAAAGCATCAGCCCCATATTTCACCTTCCGAATGTCAGTCAATTTTTTTTTTTTTTTTTTGGCACTATACAACTCCTCTTAGAACTAACGTCAACTAGATACCTCCTGGATTCTTCTCGTGTTTGGAATTTGGATAAGCATGCGGGACATTGGCCTGGGAATTAGGCCAAATACTCGGCTCACTGATCCCTTGCTAACGCAGGGTGAACAAGAAGCAATGGCCAGCAATTTGGACCTGTGTCATGCTGTTTTCGTGCTTGCATCAAATCATTTTGTCAATCTACTTTACCCAGAAGGGGGTTTGGGCTATTTCGAAACGAGCTCTGGATTTAGCTCAGAGCCCAAAGTCTCGGAACAACCGTGTTTGTCCGTTTACTGGAAGAGCTCCTAGTTGGACTTCCAAGATGAACAACATATCCATGAACCAACTACCCTGTTTCCCCCAGTCTCAAGCCAACCTACGGCTAGCCATTGGACATCTTAAGGAACGAGAACAATTTGCATAAAAACTTCCAGCCGATCAAAAAAGGCTTCTTTAAGTCCCATCTTACTGTGGCTAACTCCATTCGAAGCCCAAAAGGATTTGCTCTAACCCTCACGACAGGAAACAACCGGACGCGTGTTAGAGCGACCAATTGCTGGACAATTCCAACGGAACCCATTTTGGTTCCAACACTGAGAGACCTACAGGTCTTATCTAGCGCGACATTCGCCTACCGAATTCTGAGCCACTTAGCAGATGAGCCTGGGTACTTCATCATGCCGTTTAACTTGAAATTTACCATCATAGTCTATGAGGGCTACAAGTCTTAGATTTACGAACGTTTCGTCTTGGCTCCCCATCCCTTCCCTTCCCTTCAGCTGGACGAAGTTGGTAGCCCATACGGCATAAACATCTACTAATGACTAGCTGCTGAACAGATCCAGATTCCGATCGTTTGTCACCGTTTGTTTCATCAACGTTTTAGGTTAACTCATATTTCTCTGTTAATTCTCAATGAAAATCATAACGTTGAGGCTTGAAGTGTCTCTACCTTGTTGTCGACGATTTCCCCAGAGAAGAGGAGAGTATAGAATTAAAAGTGCGGGTAAGCCCACTATTAGACCAGGACCTGCAGATGAAGGAGGACACTCTACAGAGTAAACCAACCATGATTTTTTGTCTGTCTATGGGGTCCTGCATGAAGGAGCGTTCTCCTTCATCGCCGCAGTTTCGCGATTGACCACGACCCGGGAAACAACCCACCCTTCGTTACCAGCTCTTTTTCTTTCGAGGTGTTCTACTGATTATTCAAAAAAAAAAAAAAAAAAAAAAAAAAAAATGGGGAGGAGGGGTGGGTGTGGTTCTGAATAAAAGTTAAAGGTTTAGGTGTGGCTGAAGCCCCCCCCTCGTGCAATCTAGACATCGGTCAAGAGAAATCCGGGTCAACCCCTAAATTTGAGATTCGGGAGATACTCAGCTGAAGTTCAGTACAGTGTATTGCACCATTTGCATGTCTCCATGATCGTTTGGAGATCGACCCGACTTTAGCACTCTGATTCGGTCTTGAGAAAGGAGTACTGGAATCAGGGGTGGCTCAGGATTCTCACGTTTTCAACACATGTCAGTCCTTCGAGAGTTCTATTTCGGAATCAGCTCATGTGCCTCCTCCTTCATCTAGACATATTGCATCGGGATTCGTCTGAGGGTCTTCAGTGTGGCTGTCTTCCGAATGGCAAGGCAGACAGCAGACTTTTTAGTCTTGCAAATTTTGCAAAGCCTCGTTTACAACTTTTTGGCTCTATATACGCTTCCCTAGATCAACTGGTCGCGGGCAGAAATCCAGCTACTCGTTGCTAACTATGAACTACAGTGATTTTACTTTGGACTTGTTCGGGGAAGCCGTTGAGAAATGACTCCGTCGAGTTTCGAAGCTTACCAAAACAACATGAATACTTGATGCTCATCCTTACCCTCATTGATACGGTTCGGCAGAACCATATACAGAAAAAAAGAATCACTGATCTATCCCTCTAGACTGAACCTCATGCTTCCTCTCCTTCAGCTACTCACCCACCTTCATCATCCGGCTCCTGAATTTGGGATCTGATGCTCTCACTGGAGATTTCGGGGATATTGAAGCTCAATACGAAATGAGAAATCCGTGGACCCAGTCTCATCAATCCTCTCTTGGGGAATTGAGAGCAAAGGCAGCCACTCACTGTCAACGTCACCAAACGTTTATTCCAGGCGTTCTTCTTTCCGTTCCCTATGTTGCACGAATTTCCTCCTCATTACCTTTAGGTATGTAAGACATCTGCAAATGCGCTATGGTTTCTCCCTAGTTTAATTATATTAAATAGCTTCAGGTAAACGAGATATCTCGTTATACTATCTAAAATTTCATCCAAATGCCAAGACACCAAGGACACATGAAAAGGAACCGAGATCACCACTGTATAACGCATGTCCAAATGAGAGATGGATATCACCAAAAGTCCCGCTTCTTACCCGAAGATTTAAGCACACGCTACATAAATGTGTTGCATGCACAATGTGTGTTTCTCTTGGCTTGAAGCGAACAGCTGCAGCTGCAAGTAAACCTAGTTTTAAAAAAAAAAAAAAAAAGAAAGAAAGAAAGAAAGAAAGAAAAAAGAAAAAGAGGCCCATTGCGGTAGGGTCTAGCCCAGGTCCAAGCGGGACAGTATGTGCAAGGATTTAGCCGGCTATGCACTGCAACATGGATGTGGGGTCCAACAGAAGGGGCAGACCGCAAGATTTGGTGGGTAGACTATGGCTCTGCACTGCGATCTGGAGGTGTGTCGGCATCACGGGCTCGGCCATTTAAGACCGTAGACACGTGCAGGTTTAGACTTGCAGGAATAATGCGGTAAAGTTGGTTGGACAGTTGCTAAAGACCGAGATAGAAACTGGCGGAGAGATGTAACTACAACTGATCGAATTATTGTTCCGTTTTATGTTTGCTGGACGAATTGGATGTGGTGTTTGCCTCGGGGATGTGGGGAACGAAGATGCTGATTCGAAGAGAGAGTGTTTTAAAAAATTGGAAATGTCGGAGGCCAGGCATCATGGACCTTCTCACTCCACAATGGAATTATATTCTACACCGTCGGTTCGTTTCGTTGTTCGCAAGATATGACATTATATGCACGGTACGTGCACACATAATGGCATTGTATGTAGTTATCTCTTTCGCCTTACTAGCCAGTTCCCTTTGCTCTCTATACCGATGCACCGGGGTGTATTTGCATCTCCAAGAATGCGCCTGTGTCTGCATATTTACCTATTGAGACGCCCCCACAGTCATTCTGTACGCAGGATAGACGTTCGCATTATTTGATCCTTATGACGTATATTGCACAAATATGCGGATAGAACTCCGCAATCACACCTTAAATGGGACCTCCAAATACCACCATGCCTCGTCTCTGCGGCGGAAAATGGCAGGATGCGAGTTTGGCAGGAATATATTTGCCACTGATGAGACGAACCATTGAGTAGTTTACGATCTAGCTGGCTATGGAGATGCATGAAATGACAATCAATGCAAGAAGCACAAGATTGACGAAAGTAAGGGAAAAGGTTTATTTGTTTAACAACTTTTACAAAAAGTGAACATTGCTCTAATTTGTGTTTCGGACAAGAGATCTTGACATATGCTCCAAATTTCCGTTGATGCGGAGTATTTGCACAACAAGATCATTCTTTAGGAATATGTAGGAGGCAAGTTAATATTTGCAGTTAATATCGTTCATAATGCCGTGGTTTAATTGAGCGAACAATATGGGATTAATCTTACTGTTACATTTCTCCTGCATCCATCACATTTTTTATTCAAGAGCGGGCTCAATATTCAAAACTCTCTATGTTTAGTTCAGATTCATCACTAGTTACAATCATAGCTACTTATTAAGCAATTGACCCCTGAAAATTCTGAAAGTCATGGATGCATTGAACGCGTCACTTGACTAACTAATTGAAGTTATGAATGCTTACTTGTTTCTTTGACTATTTGCCTTAGTGATTCCTCTATTTCACCAAAATAGACATGTTCAAGATCATCAAAGAGCTAATAGACTAGTCAATAACAGTGTGGAGGAAAATGTGAAACACAGATATATTCAGATACAGAAGAGCTAATATGGGAAATGTTGCAAAAAGATGAGCGTCAATAACAAAAGTTTTTTTGACTCCTACTGAAAGGCAACTCTGGGCTAAATTGGAATTTGGAATTGTCTAGAGACCGCGGCCCCGAATAATAGGCATGAGCCTAGGGACTTTCGGGCCTAAACATAACTGAAACTTTAGGTAAGCTTACCCTAAATGGTATCTAGAAGCTTTACCACCAATAGCGGCCCGATGCCTAATGATAATAATATAATAAATAATATGGAGATATTTTAAAAATAGGCGTTGTTGCTAATATAGCAGTTTTAATGCTTTGGGCAAGTCAAACTTCTGCCGATGATTTTTATACGGGAGAAGTTTCAACATCATTGATGTCAATTAACCACCGATATGAGGAGATCGAGGCAGCCTGTGCTTTAACTGAGGAAGTAGGTATGGATAAAGGAAGAGGACATCAATCATGTAAAATTGCGGCTACAGTTTCATAGTTCCCTCGACAGAGTTGGATATAACAGATCTAGTCCAGTGGTATCAGAAGTGCTTCAACGATCCTGCAAACACACGCTGTCTATAGAGCACTGAAAATTAAGTAAAATGCTGACCTTACAGCTATGCTGGGTGGCTGTTTCGTCGCACTTGTCTAATTATTGCTCCATACGTGCCGTGTCAAAGAGTTCCCCTTTTTAATTTCACAGCAAACATTTTCCTCTCACTTTAGCTACCATAACTACTATTCCCTTTAACAGGAACTCCTTTTATACATTCACAAGACACAAAAATGAAACCTTAGAAAAAATGGATTCACCATTCCACCGTGGAGTTCGGCGAAGTTGTACGGAGTACTGCCAGATTTTGTTAACCAAGGTTCCCAAAAAAATCATGGACGCTTAATTAGAATTGACAGGTAACGCCGGAAGTCGATTTGAGGCCGCGATTTGACAACTATCATTTTTATTAGTCGGACGAGCTCGTTAACTTGAACTTAATTGTGTGAAAACTTCCAAGGGGAATTGAGGATTTCCAGAATGTGAGGAACACGTATCAAAGAGAAATTCTGAACTGAGCTAACTTTTTATTTATGAAATAATCAAACAATAGCTCCACGCTCACCAATCAATGATTGCACTGGGTTCATCATAATTCACCTTACGTGCGTCTCTTCACCAAATTGCTGACATGGATTTCATTGAAGGAAGAACAGACACTCCGCATCCACTAGCTAGTTTATCTAGTTACGTGCGTACCCCGTTAGAGAGAACTATTGAACATGCCATCCTCTCATGCAATTAAAGGGGCTTCAACTCGCCTAAAGTTAACTCTTTTCAGAATTCGATTTCTTCAATGAACAGCTTACCATAAGTTCCTTTGGGCATGAGGATAACAACAACAACAACAACAACAACAACAACAACAACAACAACAACAACAACAACAACAACAACAACAACAACAACAACAACAACAACAACAACAACAACAATAATAATAATAATACGAATGTCTCCATACATGTGTGAATGAAAAATATCCAAAGTTAACAATGGCATTATAACAAATCATCATTAAGAGATGGGTTGACACATAGTAAGGAAGAAGCAGATGACCCCTCCACCATGCCCTACATTAGAGCTGAAGCCCTCAGGAACCTTAGAGAACAAAGGATTCGGGGAATAAACGGGGGCCGTGTGGCCCTATAACCTGAAAGGGATTGCGCTCCGGCCTATCTGGGTCGCCGGCACATGGATGGGGTACGTGCATAGGGCTGAGCGGCGGTTAAGAAATTGTGCTGCTTTATGCTCATTCGTAACAGAGAACAAATGGGCAATCGGCTTTCGCGGGATGCGGATACAGCCTTGAGCCGCAGCGAAATCGGCGAGTGAAGATTTTGAATGGAGTTTTTGATGTAATGCCGTGCTTTTTTTGAGATTTTAGAATTTGTGGTTTGCTATTACATGATGTGGGGGAATCGAAGCCCTCGGAAGTTCAAATGTGTTCTCGATCCAGAGGTCTATCGGCTACCAACAATTGTCATGTTAATTCCGATGGAGCCGATAAATGCACTGATACGAGAGTCACATGGGTTGTTGCATGTCCCGTTTGAAAGCCGCCTTGGGGAGCTCTCAAGAAGCCGACACTTGGAGTAAGTTACCCGCCTGTCACCCAGTGGTTGACTTTCTTCGATCAGCACTCGGAACGCTGGTTGTGGCCCAATCATATATTCTGTCCAACAGTCCAACAGGCAAATATTTCAACCGCCTTCTGCAGTGGAATGAGAGCTGATAAGGTAATCGGGCACCTTTTCAGTCCCGAGGTTTGATACTGACATTCCTGCTATCAAGCTGCTAATTATTCCTCTGAAGAATATATCAAATAATATGAAGAATTATTAGTTAATGCACTCCACCACACAACCAAAGTGCTGGAGCAATGGCTATTTGGATTCGGAACGCCCGTTCCAAGATAGAGAAAGCCTGCCAGACAGTCCACCAGAACTAACCCCTGTTCACCAGTTCTGTAAGGTTCGGTCTGTTCCCTGCCTCCACAAAATGGGCGCAAGTTCCACTCCACAGCATGCATTAGAATCCATGGGAATATCCATCAAAATCCCAATTCAATAGGCTATGGAGCGGTCAAGCCGCTACAGCCAATCAGCAAGAATCCGTCTGTAGCAAAACGAATCCCACACTAAACCTCATCGGGCTGTTAACAGGGTTGTCCAGAACGAAAAGGCGGGCAGCGAGAAAAAACCAGCTATTATGGGATACTACCCCAGGATTAAATGATAGTGAGGAAGCGAGACAATGACGAGACGAGATGACGAAGCCAAGGAACTAATGGAGAAAAATGCACAAGGAGATCCACCCCACATGTCATTTCGGTTGTGAGGGGACATCTCGGAACCCCTACTCGTTGAGCATGAACGAAGCTTCGTGCAAGTTGGCAGCATGTTCTTGCAACCTCTTTTGGCAGACCCCCCCCACGCGGCCAACGACCAGGCTACCGCCAAACCATTGGGTCGCATCCAGCGGTACAGTCGCCAGTCACAGACTCAAAAAGGTATCGTGGTTACTAACTGTTCAAAGGAACAAAAAAGGAAATATCTCGTTGCGGTGCTTCTCTAGGAAAAGACAATACGAGAATGCGGCAGATCACTTTTCCTCCACCCAGTTTGAAAAGAACATGGTTTGCAACTACATAAGAAGATGAGTTGATTTTCCCGCCTACCTACCCGGCCAAGGTGTTTAGGTTACTGCTTCTCTTGGTTATTATTATTCCTGTTGTCTGTGTCAATCCCGCTCCCAAGCACGACTGAAGTTGCACTGGATCACTGCGCGGATCTAACTCGCAGTAGTGGTTTGCCCAGTACGAATAGCAGAAAGTATGGTCAAAAACTTGAGCCTCACGGTCTTTCCCGTCCCCCTTGCTGTCAAAAGGTGGAGGTGGCGATTATCCTTATGCACCTCAGGCGCCAATCAAATGCAGTGCCTAGTCAGCGTCCTGTGTCCGGTGTCCCACAGTGGATGTGCTCGGCACCAAATGCTTCTCGTACTGCATAATAAGTCTTGTAGAGAGGGGGGGGGGGGGAAGAAGAGGTGAGTTGAAAGCATTTGTCATCTTGATTAAACAAAATATTGCTGTGGTTAGTGGTTAAAGGGTAGTTATTCCTACAATGACAGTTTTATTCCATCGCCCGACCGATCTCTCTTCTGCCCCCAACCCATCCAACATGATCGTCCTCTGGACCGCGCATCTCGAGGTTTCTGCTAATTAAGGCACGGACGGCGATCTCGGTTTGGATTAATTAGTTGAGACCTAAATAGGACTGCTATTTTAAGGTACTATCAAATATTAAACTAATAACCTGACCAAAACAAGTAGAAACGCGGTTGTTCGTATTTCTCATTGATTTGCAATTCGCAATACCCCGTACAGTATTGAAATACTGCACGTATTTGTGAGGCCCAAGCCACACGTTTTATTCTCCTTTTCAAGCCAGGCTGCTTCCTTGCACGCGGATTGGGTAAATGCTACGAAAATCATTTGAGATATGGCTGTGACAACTTGAGAATCCAGGAACGTGTTCTAGCTGCACATCTCTTTTTCATAATTTGGGATGTTTGGGATTTTATCCCGTAGAGCTTCTGGGTTCTTCAGGGGGTTCACCGGTGCTCTGACAGCCCTTAAACCCGCCTCCTAGAAAAGATAAGGCCTCGAAGCGGTCATCAGAGATTGTTGACAAACAAATCCTGCAAGAATCAACATATTAAAAAAAAAAAAATAATAATAATAAAAAAAAAAAAGAGGGGTCAACAACTCAATGAAATATTCTGAATATTCCTCATCAGCTAGATTAAGGAATAGCGAAATAAACAGGAACCCAAACTGGAATCGACCCTCAAACTCAATCCCAAGACCAACAAAGTCAAAACTGCCAGCAACATCAAAAGAGGAATGATGCCAGGTCTCCAAGACAGTCCGAAGGATTCCCACCACGGTGATGAGTACTCTGTTCACAACCGCTCCCGCCCCGCTGTGAAAGGAAACAAACCGGAAGGATTCCGAAGTTGCAATGGGTTTCCGCGCTATTTCTTGAAGTCGTGGTGGTGGTGGGCTCTTCGGATCCGGATCTGGAATGTCGTAGTATGAACGGAGATAAAAAGAGAACGGAGCAGCATTAGGCTATGTCGGGGGTTGGCAAAGTAATTCCATTCATCGCGTATTATTGGTGATCAGAGAGGGGGAGGAGAGCTTTATTCAGGAGCAAGAGGATTTTCTTCTTTTTGGAGAATCAACGGCAATACGTCTTCTCTTGCTTCCGTGCTGGGGGGATATAAAAAAGGGAAAAAGAAGAAAATTGCTAACTGCTGTAAGGCTCGTCTGATGGGACGAAGGAGGGACAAAAATGATGACCGTACATAAACAGGTTAACCCCGGTGGTTGCACAGCTTTTTTGCAAGAGCTTTTTCCATTGCCATGAGGCATAGATGTCGTGCAGCGTCCAACAAATCATCGTCACTATGAATGATTTTATGCTTTTATGCATCCGCGCACATGGACACCGGGGGCCATCTGCTGGCTAAGATTATAGTTATGGCTGTCTTTTTCATTTTTCGTTCTCTTGCTTTGTCGCTGTTTAAAGGGGAATCTATCTCGGGGAGCGAGCACGATTGTCCTCTTGCAGTTAGCCCCCCGCCTCCCCCCTTGCGTAGAATCACGAATATGTTCGGAACAGCGCGAACCCGAACCGTGGAAGCTTGTTTTACGAAGCCCAGACCCTTTCTCGTATCCGCCTTATCAAAGTCATGTTGGCCTTTGCAACTGTAACCGCGATTGATTGCATCACTAGAAATTATGCTTCCACGCATAAAATTTAGCCAAAAGGCGCGGGGAATGGGAGGACCACAAGATAATAATGAATTACCCTAGAGCAGTAAATTGAGCCCCATGATACGAAGCAAGGGTTCAGAACCTGCTGCAAGGGGAAACGCGCCTTCGCTATGTTGGAACCAATAACAATAAAGTTAACCTTGAGACTGAATTAACTACCGTGTTCGTGGTAAGAACTGACGAATGGTTTCGTCACAAGGATTCAGGATGTTGGGATCATCTACAACCATCATGTCGATTTTATATTGTCTCTCTCCGTTTTTCATACCTAGAAACCACCATGTCGCGAAAGAGGAAAAGAACACCCAAACAATCCCGGATGGGCATTTCAAAGACTTTTGCCTAATTCCAGCACAAATAATAAAGCGCACTTGATACCTTGGGACGTTACGGAGTACGGAGTATGTGTTTCTCCGATCCTCCTCCATCTGCGGATCCCCAGTGATATCTTGCGATGATTGGCCGCCTTGCCCTGCCCTGAATCGGATCGCATGAAAACGAAGCTCAATAACAACCACCGTACAGGATCAAGTTTGGATCTGTCCAGGGAAACTATCTCTTATCTCAAATGGCAAATGGCAAATGGCAAATGGAAAATGCAAATGCAAATGCAAATGCAAATGCGTCACCGTTCAATTAGCAGTACTTTTTTTCTTTTGTTGCCTTAGCCACTTTTTCTTTTCTCTTTTCTTTTCTTTCTTTCTTTCTTTCTTTCTTTCTTTCTTTCTTTCCTTTTTTTTTTTTTTTTTTTTAATACAAAACCAAAATTCCTTCTCCGTGTTTATTTTCTAAATTAACAACAAGACGCCCCTGTCTCGCTGTGTCACATAGATGTTTAAGGTCTGTTACACTCAAGGTCGGGCGACCCGGGGGACTTCCGGGATGAGGAGGAGTTGAAAAACGTGGCTCTGATCGGCAGAATGTTTGGATGCGGGAAGGCGATTCGCCATGTGTTTGCCGGTAGGTTTGGAGGGAAGGAGTGTTACAACATACACCTACACTTCCGTGCCGGGAAAAGAAAATTAGTCCATTTTTTGAGTCTTTAACCTATCCGAGGTATTTCCTCTTTTGTATTCTGTCCTTGTGCAACAAAAGGGTTGTAAAAGGAAATCGCCATAGTTCGGCTAATTGGTTGAATAAACCCAAACTGCATCTGTAATCATGTCCTTTTTTTCCCTCTTCCTGGATGTTTCATTCTCTTCGCATTTCCGTGATACCGCTAAAAAAAAGGCACATGGCAAACTCGATGATCGATGCCTATGCACAGGACACCCCGCGTGGAACCCTCGAGACATCTGACATGTTTTAACTGCTCTGTACGCTCGCAGCTCGCACAAGGTCGTATGCATATTATGTATGATTCAACCTATGCACACGTGTCTTGAAGCGTAGAAGCACGTCGAAGCCAGCATAGATGAACGGCGCGTATTTTGATTGTATTGTTATTATTGCCGCATAAGCGCTGTGGTAAACCCTGATCAAAATGGGCTGTTCAATATGACCATTCAATGACTTGCATATGTTGTCATACACATGGAAGATGTTGACAGCCTCGATGATGATCTTTCTGGAAAATTCTTTGGTCATCAGTCAAACCTGAAACGTTGCACATGGCTTTGGGCACGGCAGAATTAAGAATTGAACTCTTTTCCTTTTTGTAACCGTGCTCTCTTATTACGTATTACATAAAGCAAACTATCAATAACTAACTAATTAACTACTGAAATAGAATAATTATTAGGGCACTGGGGTGGTAGGGTAAAGACTATTTCAAAGGGGAAGCAGACATCATGTCATGAGTTTATACGATTAAGAATGAAAATATACTAAGCAGAACACATGAGCCCTCTTCATATGTTTTGATGCCAAAAACAGCAACATGTAAAAAAACAAGAGCAGATGGGTGGTGCAAAAGAAAAAAAAAAAAAAAAAAGTCAAAATCCTAAGAGAGAATCGTTAAATTAGTGGCCAATCAAGCTGCCTAAGCCCCCTGTCCCCCCAAATCGCGAATCCTTTTAGCGCGATCTTCCGAGCCTACTTTAACTTTATCAAGTGAATAAACTGTAAATACACTGTGGCTCATGCCCGCCTGCTTAAACCTTATTATGTGGAGACGGCCCAAAACGACATTTCTCCACAGTTTCACGAACTTGATACTCCAGCCACAGCCTAGTGCAACTCTTGCAGTTCGAGTTAACTAGGTGAATCACAACTCCAAACATCGTTCGGAGGAACAGAAAGGGCAAAAGTCTCCACTGCTATTTATTGCCCAAATTGTTCTCATGGGAAAACGAAGCTGGAAGACATATTCATTGAAACTATGCATCTGTACTGTCAACCAACACCAACATTTAAAGGGAAAAAAGAAAGAGAGAGAGAGAGAAAAATCAAAATTGCCCCCCTCCGTGGCTTTGCCCAATTCTAATCTCTTGACTGGCCACAGACGGTAATATTATCTAGCTACCATTTATTTTTATCTCCCATCCAAATTGATGTTATTGGCCCGATATGTACATTAAACTTGACCAGTTAAAAACGCGATGCATGCACTCAGCCACAGGCTTTTTACCCACTTTCCAATTTGGTACTTACGTGCGTATTCGGCAAGTTTACCTTTTGTCCCACACATTAACTTCCGACGTGTATTTTTCATCTTACACACGGCTCAATTTCCATCCGATGTACCCCCATACTCCCGTTCCCAGTATATACACAGTACCGCTTACAGTACCGCTTAGTTTGAATCTTATCCAATCTCTCCAATGCACTCTTTGGGGAATTATAGCGAGCAATCGCAATTCTAAAAACACTTGGATATATGCTTCTCGTCTACAACGTTGTTGGGAGCTACCTGGTAGGATGCTGTGGAAGTTCCATAAGGGAAAGCCAAAAAGGTGACGACGGCTCTTCTTTGATGTCTGCGGGCATCTTATTTTTCATATTTTATGCTATCTAGGGTTGTTTTTGGGGCGTTTCGCCAACCCAAGAGCTAAGACTTTCTAGGACCTACCAAAAGGGAACCAGATCAAACGCGGATGTCGAAGGAGTATCCTTATTCTTTGGTTTCTATTTCTTTGTTTGGACGTCTCCATGCTGAGAGCTATCGAGTCAACGACACGTAGGTCCTCCTCGAGTGGTTTTGCAATCCCTACTCTCATATGGATACACAAAGCTGTTTGTTAAGCTCCAAACAAAACCCTTCTTATATGTGTAGGTAAACCGGAGGAGAAAAGAAGGGGCGCCGAGCTGTGAAAAGGGGAAACAGACGAAGATTCAATAGTAAGCAAGTGCTGTCACTCTTTCTAGTGATTCTCGGGAACATTGGGAAACAATTATTGAAGTCTCCGTGGAGGTTGAGTTTCATTGCTACTATGCCGGCTCTTTCGGATGGTTTGATAACTTATGACCAGGCAACAATTTTGCATAAAGTAACTTACCTAATATTAAATTGCTTTGATTTGTAAGGTTGATATATTGCAAAGTTATGCATGAGTGAGAATTCAAATAAAGAAGAAGAAAAAGAAGAAAAAGAAAAAGAAAAAGAACTACGACCAGGCATTAGCAAATGATCACGCACGAACTCGAAATATCTTCATGTCATCCCGCGATCGACATCATCCTCAACGTTGTCATTGCTAAAGACAACCTTAAATACCCGTTTCGACTTCGAAGTCAGCACCACCAAAGTCTCATCCTTCCCTAATCCTTCATGTCAACGGTTCAAAACTCAGTAAGAGCGCCTCCCTGCCCATGTGGACACCACCCACTCCAAAGCTTGGTATCTCTCCGCATCAAGAGCATAATTTTAATTTTACCCCTTTTAAACCCCGCTCCCCCTGGGCTTTAACACGTATCATAAACTCAGGGACTAGGGGAAGCTTTGGTTGAGAGAGAAATCTTCTCCAGATCAAAGCAGGGTCCAGAAGGGGGATGAAGGGGTGAAAGAAGGGGAAATGAGGAAACGAGGGGCCCTGGAATGTGAAGGGATGAGGATAGCGGTGTTTAGAATTGAACTTAATGAATACAACTGTGATTTAACAGGGGAAGAGGGCGGAGAGTTTTATAGGAGAAAGGGAGATGGAAGGTTGTTCGCCCATAGGGCTGACCAGTTAAAAAGGGGCAAGGATGTTTCGGGGAAACGTGCAGCAGGTCTGCCGAAGTAGGGAGGCGTTGTTTGAGAGAGTGACAGTCGCTTACTGAACGAATATATAAACGTAAATATGGGGGGAAGAGGGGGCCAAGGATGAAGAGGGCATATTTGCTATCTGTATGTATCTTTTGATTTTATATAATTGGACTTGGAATTGGCGGAGAGATTGGAGTTAGGAGAAGGAAAACAATTGCCCGTTGTTGTATTCTATTTTTAAAAAACCATTTTGTCTGGGCCGTTTCGTGCTCTTCACCAAGAGCTCTCCCTGTAGTGCAGTACTTTTCCTGTTTATTTTTTGATCTTTAACCACATATCATCTAATAAAAGAAGCAAACCACGGGGGGATTATTCTGCATATACCATTGACTTTTCTATATATATTCCTCGGGGCCAATAATTTTGACTGGCCACCCGGAGAAGAGGGTTGGCTGTAGCCCTTGTTGGAAGTATATAAATGAATTCTGCGAGTTTCGGCCCGAGAGATATAGAAGCCAACTTTTTACTGTGATTGTATATCTCCTCAAAATATCGGGAAGCATAATAGCTGTAAAACGTACCTGTTGGGAGTCATAATAACTATGTATTATTTGAGGTTGCAGGGAGTGGGCAACAATTATGCCGACGGGGGCATCCTTATTAATAAACGATCTTATGGATGGGATTCTAGAAAAGTAAAAGGAAAGGAAAAAGGGTGGTGAAGGTGGGAAGGATTGATGGCCAGCCAACAAAATGTCAGCGGAAAAGAAAACGAGTTTGTTCTCTTGCATGGAAGGACGTTGCAAAAGCTTGCTTTTCTTAAATTCCCTTCTGAAACACTCGTATACCATGCTGCAATCTTGCTAGAGTTATAGGGCGGAAAGATGTTGAAGTAAGTCTCACTCCGGCCAATCTGTAGAAAGGTGCTGTTATGCTGTGCGACCAAGGAACTTCAAGGAAGTGACTAGAGACTCGCGGTCCGGAGATTGGAACACCAAAAGTTTCGGGGTATCTGTATTGCTGTCTATTTTTGACATATTTCTGAGTAAGTGGATGAAGGGATGTGGTGGAGCCATGTCAGAAACCGGAAATTCATTCGGGGAACTCGTAGTCATAGATAGCGATATCAGTAATTGACATCAAAAGAAATAATAACCCAGGCGATAACTAGGTTTGTTTGGTGAGGATATGCTGCCCGCGAAGGTTGTTCCTCGTAAGGCTAACCGTGGTTAACGACCCTGCGGGGAAGAGCATGAAGATCCGCCCTATTCCCCAAGCGCATTATTGCAACAAAAAGTTCGGCCTTATGAAAGGGGATCGATCCATGGATCGAGGAGTAATGTCAATCAACTCCCCCCACAGTTCCGTAAAATACTCCCTCCAGAAATCATCTTGTTCTGCACCACCCCATGAATCATTATTATTAATTGTTATTTTTTTTTTTTCCCCGCGGCACCCCCGGCATACCGCAAGAATGGACCCCATGGGTGGTTCAACCTGGCTTCTTCCCTATGACGAAGAACGGTGAAGGGCCCCATCATGGGGTTTGGAAGGGTGGATGTACGGGGGGGGGATGCATGCATGCACGCATGCATGCATGGTGTTTGGGATCCATTGTCGCAATAATGCCATTTTTACTCTTCGAGTCCCGATGTATTCGTGGGCCGTTTTCCCCGTGCACAGAGCGGTTTTTCAGGTCTGTTTAAGATCAACATGGGACCAGTGGGGAATAAAGTAGGCTGAATGGGTACATGTATATTCCAGTAGAAGGAGAGAGAGTATGGAGTAACTACTGTGTACCGTCGGTATTGTTGCCTCATTGGCCAGCCATGAAAGGTCGAAGAATTCAACAACGGACTGACTAATATAATGAGAGGGTTCGGATACATTAAAGCCAAAAGTAGATGAGCCTCGCCGAACAACATCATTTCATGGGCTGTTGTCCATTTTTCCTTGTTCATTCTCCCAAGGAGACTAGATCTTAAGTCCTTTTTCTATTTTCTGCATTCGGGCGAAACAAACCATCGGTGAGTTAAGAATAAACCACATATACATCACCAACTGTTGAAAGATGACAATACTGATAAACATATTAAGGAGAGGAGCTTGTAGCAACTTGTAACTCGTAAGCCCTAAATCCAACTCACACTCCGAACACTGTGGAGCAGAGAACACGCCAGACAGACCGAACCGCAGGGACCAGGGCCATTCATCATTACTCATCCCCTTAAATTTCACCTTTCACCTCTCTTTTTTGGGTTTCGGGTAGGGTGCTGCGCATTTGTATCGAATACGATTTTTGCGTATCACAGGGTGTAATTGCAGACCTCATTTCTCGTATTTGTGATATAAGAGATGTAACTAGGGATGGTGTGGATTGAATGATGCGGACTTTATGCGTCCCTTGTCCAGATTGTCCAGACCAATCACCCCATCCACCCATCCACCCACACCTCTCCGCCCACCCCCCCCATCCACCAGTCCAACAATCCAACCAACTGCCCGGGGGCCCCAGTTGAGCACATCCCAGAACTGGGTTTTAGCGTCTGCGCACTGCCGAGAGGAGACTCAGAGGAGACAAAAGAGCGTAGCGTAGACTCGACTAGTATGGTGTAGTTGCCCAGTAGTTGACAGTAGTTGGGCCCCGGCCGAATGACGGCTGCTGCGCTGCTGTTGCTGCGGTATGCTGTTAAGATGTCCCAACTTGGGTTTTGCTTGTGTTGTTGCGCCTTGCTGGACGACGTCTGATTTGTGTCTGGGATTCTGGGTCTTGTTCTCCCTTGTCTCTTGCTCTCCTTGTAGGGCAAACAAATCATATTGATCCAATCCGGTAGATATCTTTTTTTTTTTTTTTAAAAAAAAAAAAAAAAAATTAAAATAAATAAATAAATAAATAAAAAATATAAAGATAGAGTGTATTTATTTTTAATCTTTCCCTGCTCTTGTCGCTGTCCCTGTCGCCTGCATGATTCTTCTGCTTTATAAAAACATCATCCCTCGTCCACCGTTTTTTATTTTTCTATTTTTTTATTTTCCCATTTGATCTTCTTTTGACTACGTTCATTTCTTCTGTCCTTCTGTCCATAGTGTTTGGTAGTTCGGTGGATCTTTCTACTCACTATTCTCACCCCTATTTACTAGTAGCCACTCCAACGGAAAAAAGGAAGCAAGGGAAAGAAAAAGAAAATACTCTTTATCCAAAAATAAAAAGAGCTCTCATCCCCGCCATTTGCCACCGAGATCCTCTCGAACTCGATCAAGATATTTCACAGTAATACCATTGTTGCTCATAGAAGATACTCTCCTCCGGTTTGTCTTCTCTGCCTGTGTCCATCAATCTTCTGTGACCCATCTGTCGATTGCCTGGTGCGCGTTTGTCCATACCTCAATACCCTCTCCTCTTATTGGCTGTGCCTGTCAGTCCCAGCACGTCCACCACATCTCTAGCTCTGGCTGCGTCCGCTGTCCTCGTCCACTACTTCGCCCATCCCCGTGTTCAGTAGCACACGATTTCGCTCGAGTCGCTGTCTCAGCTGTTCAAGGGGCTGTCCTCCTCACGAACACCCCCTCCTTCTATTTCGTGTATGAATAGCAGGACTGGTTCTTCTCTTCTTTTTGTTGGCCTCTCCCATCGTTATCTACCGTCGCGGACCGTCCCGTTGAAACTCCCATCGCCACGACTTTGTATGCTTGGCGCTTGCTCCACGAGGGATTCGTTGCTTGAAGAAATTTAGTTGTTGTGGTGTCAATAGAGCTACTGATAAAAAGTCACCGCCCGACTGGTATGTCAATTTTTGTTTTTCGATCCTTTTGTTGCCCTTCCAATATTTCCTGTCTTGCATTCTTTTTCCTGGCCCAATATATATATATATGTTTTCTTTTGTTTTTGCTGGCTGTGAGCATATTCGGATATGAACTGGTTTTGGTCAGCTGACATGCTCTATACAAAATAGCCAAAACCCTTTTTTGCCCGAATGCTGCGCTGATATTGGCTCCGTTCCCTTTTTTTTTTTCCCCCTTTCTTTTTCTTTTTTCTTTTCTTTTCTTTTCTTTTTTTTAACCCCCTCTCTCTGAACAATTAGATCTGTCCAGGGAGAACTCTGTTTTCCTTTTTCCTTTGCTTTCCCCCCCCATAAGTCGCTTCTGTTGTGGTCTATTATTTGTTGTCCTGCCATTTCTCTTCCCAACGATCCGACAATGCTAGCGTTGGAGCATTCCCGCCACAAGCAATCCTATCTCCCGCAGCTGTCGATGGATCCCTCGATGCATGATCCTTTTGGTCCGCTGTATATCGACAGCTACAGCCCCCTTGGTTCTTACAACTTATTCCCAGCGGGCTCGACTTCCTTCTCAGACGCCCCCTCGTTCCAGATTGAGGCGCCCCATCACCCTTACAACAATAGCAGCAACAGCGCCAAATACGAGCCCTTTGCACATCACAATTGCGCTTCTCCAACAATAGTTTCGATCCAAGCTTCCGATTTCAAAGCTTCTACCGCAAGCTCCTCCGCATCTGGCCCATCATTGCCAAGCACTTCTTCATCCACCATAGGCTCCCCCTACCAGGAGAGCTGGATCGACATGAACAGCTCTTCCGGATTGGGGCCTGCCACCGTTGGTAGCGATGGCTACTCGCAAGAATATGTAAGTGCCGCAATGGACGCTAACATGATGTTTGCGCATGAAAAGCTCCCGGATAGTTTTGTGGGTGAGTACGGAAATATTTTTCCTTATTCTGCTCCGTCGCATACGCGTATCTTGCCTGTAAAAGCCGTTTTGTCTGCAAAACCCTCTACCGTATTTTCATCTTCTCCAGCGCTGTGTAGCTCTGGTGGTGCAGTTTCTTCTTCTCTTGTTTCTACTTCGCGACACACAGATGTTGCAGCTTTATCAGGCAATAATCAACAACACATGCTATCTATGTCTCCCCCCTCGAGCACTGTGCCTCTGAAGGGAAGGAGATCGCGCATGGATTCAGGCAGCAGGACTAGCCGACACCTCGGTGCGCTGGGCGCTCCCATAACCCGATCGCTGAGTGGCGAGTATTCACCGTCTTTGTATTCACCAGGTCTGCTCCTGAGCAGAAAACGGTCTTTGACCCAAGCCTCAGACATGGCTTCTGCTGTTCATGCGAGAAAAATGTCAACTGCAGAATCCAAAGTGAAATGTCGAGATAACCTTCCTTCTTCAAGGAGCTCGCAGTCTCCTCTCACAAGCTCCAGATATAGAGAGCGTTTTGAGAATTGTTTCTTTAATCAGAGTAGCGGGAATTTTGTGCCGCCTCCTGATTCATCTTGTTGGTTTTTGAAATTTCCTACTTGATACCTCTCGCAGTTTAACTTGTTGTTTGTGATATTCCTTTGATGTTCTTTTGATACCCATAGTTGTGACTGTTATATTTTCTGCTCTTTGCTTTTTTGATGACGATTTTTTCTATCATATATCCTCGCCCTATCATCTATTATTGCAAATTTCGATCATGACTAATTCATTCGCCTGCATATAGATCCGTCTTTGATCAACCCACCTATGCAACAACAAAGTAGCTACCCGCCCCCGACCGTGTCATACGCAGAGGAATCCCAGTATGCCTTTGCACAATCACCCGCTTTCATGCCAGCATCCCCTGCCGCATCTCCCTTACCCCAACCCCAAACGCTGCACCATCCACATCACCCTCACTCAGCTCTTCCCTCTCCATTCCTCAACCAATCTGGATTCCCCTCTCGCCCAGTGTCCTTTACCGGACGAAGATCATCAATATCCTCCGAGAATTCGCGCCGTTCGCGCCACAGTCCCCTGGCGGGAAGTGTCGACTACGAAGAAGAAGGAAAGGAGAAAGGCCGTTGCCCTCATCCTGATTGCCGGCGCGTATTTAAAGACCTGAAGGCACACATGCTTACCCATCAATCGGAGAGACCGGAGAAGTGTCCGATCTTGACATGCGAATACCATCTAAAGGGCTTTGCCCGAAAATATGACAAGAATCGGCATACATTAACACATTACAAAGGCACCATGGTGTGCGGATTCTGCCCCGGTTCTGGCTCTGCTGCAGAGAAGAGCTTTAACCGGGCTGACGTGTTTAAGCGACATCTTACCTCTGTGCACGGTGTTGAACAAACGGCGCCAAACAGCCGCAAGAAGTCACCGCCAACAGCAAACCGAAAGGCCTCATCTTTCTGTAATGACGCGACCGGTAAATGCTCAACGTGCTCCTCGACGTTTAACAACGCTCAGGAATTTTACGAGCATCTGGATGACTGCGTTCTGCGCGTCGTCCAGCAGGAGGAGCCCAGCGAAGCCATCAACCTCAAGCGACTCACCGAGGTAGCCTCCGATGATGCCGTGCGACAAACTATGGAGAAGCACATGCTTATCGACACTGGCAATGACTTAATGACCAAAAATAATAATAACCCAGCGGATGAAAATGATGACGACCTTGACGATTCTAATGACTCTAACAATATGAACACCAAATACAACTCTGCGGGCCAGGGCTCTCGAAAACCCCCCTCCTCCCCATCCCACTCTTCCAATCCATCATCCGCCTCCAATACCCTCCAAAAATCCACCACCATCACACCATCAGGCATCTCCAAAACCCGCCCCACCGTCTCCCGTCGCCGCAACAACCGCAACAATTACCCCCAATCCTGGGGCTGTCCAACCAACAAAATGAAAATGAAAAAGCGCGTGCTGTGTCTGTACGACGGCCAGCACCGCCTCTGGAAGGACGAGATGATGCTCGACAACGAGTTTGAGGTCCGTCTAAAACTTCTCGGAGGCGTTGGTGCGAATGGCGCTGGTAGCTCGTCGACACCAGGTCGTGATGCGTATGTGACGGATTTGGATGTGGAGACGCTTAAGAGGGCGGAGGGGGTGCATGGGGCTACGGAGGAGGAGAGGGGAGTGTGGGATGCGGAGTGTCTTCCTGTTGGTTCAGCTGGATTGATGGGGCCTGCAGCCGTGCCTATGTTGGTCAATGGGCAGGATGGTGGGTTGGTTGATGAGGTTGATATCGAGGAGTTGATGGCATGAGGGTATGTGTGGAGAATACGTTTGCTTTTATTTGTTTGGTGTTTTTTTTATTTATTTATTTATTTATTTATTTTTATTTTGGATATATTTGATGGATGCGATTTTCATCCGTAGTTGTGACTCAATAGAAGGGATCATCTTATGGCATGAAGGGGACATTGGGTCTTTGTTTTTCACTGATACCTATTGGGTTTTACCTGCTCTGGATTTCTATTTCCATATTTTACTCTCCACTTTTGGTTTATCTTAGGTCCGTTGTCTTTCTCCATTCTGGGTCATGTCTTCATTTCCCTGATACATCATTTACTAAACTGCACATTCCTCACATCATCTCAGTTATTACATTTCGCAGTTGGCGTCAGCTGGACTGACATACCTATGCTATCAAACTATATACATTTCTCATATTCAATTAAATGAATACTCACCAATATACTAAAAAATGATCCTACACTTTGTTTCACTCTAACTACGGCCATGTAGAAATTCAAGAGACGGATACTTAGCCTCTTGGTACATCCCTGTGGCAGTTTCTTGAGGGTCTTCCTTCCCTGGCCCATCGCAAAATCACGTGATATCCATATAACGACCGAAGGTCAACTTCTACCTAGAACAACCTCCTGTTCTCCTCTCTGAATCCCTCTGTATGAATAACCGCGAACGGAGCGGGATGATCTAATTCAGAGGTCATCCTTCTCTTTATCTTTGCCTTCAGCTTGTGAGTAGGGTTTCCCAGTATATTCACTCTTTCCTGGTTGTTTATTTTGTTTACACAACTGGACTTGGACTGGAGCTGACTTAAATGTATTATTGCCTGTATCTGGATGCAGACGGATATAAAGCGTTCAACTTGCATTCTGCGCTTGAATAACGAATCCCGCGATAAAAATGAACCCTGTTTTATGATACTACTGAACGAAGCGATGCACAACGAAACGAAATCTCAATAAACGTGTAATTAAGACGACAGGGAAAAGAAAGGACTTGAAGACCCAATAAAACATTCGATATAAACATACCATACATAACGACTCGTCCGTCTTCGCACAACCCTTTATTCGCAAACAAAATACAGCGCGTATTATCAAGTTCCACGCGCATGTTGTCTTCTACTTTAGGAGGTCAGGCCACAACATTAATCAATAATATTCCAAAACGCCCCTCCCTTCCTAGACTCGCGGAGGCTTGAATTCGGACTCCCGACATTTCCTAGACACGGAAACGGTGTTTCTCGGTAGATATCCAGTTGATGACGGTGCATTTCCTGTTGATTTCATCTGCTGTTTGGGTGTAAAATGGAACCGCTTCTTACGCCTGCACTATATGATTCGGTTGCGGATGTGGAGATGACTCTGGGGAATGGAAATGGAAATGGAAATGGAAATGGTGGTAGGAAGAGGGGACAGAAGATGATCAGGGTTGATGGTACGTACCTGCTACCTCCCCGTATCCTAACACCGGATTTTAAGACTTTATATAGAGGCGAGGGATGGAATTCTGAGCTCTTACGTTTTGTGATACGCTGGATACAAGGCTAACAGATTGTTTAGAACCGCCCAAGTTTGACCTCGAGTCATATGTTAGCAATTACACTGGCATGTTATTTCCGTTGTTTGCTGCTTTGTTGTGTTAGTTTGTACTAATGCTGCTGCGCGCTTATAGGGAGAACCAGGCTTGCTAGGCTATACCTTATTGGGACCTGCTCGACCTTTCTATCAGCTGATGCCTTGAAGATGGCGATTACAGAGGCGAAAGCTGGGAGGGATGTGGAATTTTATACAAGAGCCGTCGAAGCTTTGGCTCGAGTTGCTCCCCATGATCCGGAAGCGAAGCTGGATGCTGGGTGGGTGGATTATACTTCGAAAGTTCTCAAGGCGGAAACGGACCGATTAGAGCATGAGCTTAAGGGATATAAGAACAACCTTATCAAGGAGAGCATACGGGTAAATGAATGTCCCTAGCTTGATTGATTTAGGATAATTAATTTGTCTAACACGTTACCACTCTCATCTGAATAGATGGGCAATGAAGATTTGGGCCACCACTATTATCGCATCGGAGATCTAGCTTCTGCTTCCAAGGCCTACTCTCGGATGAGAGAATACTGTACCACAACCTCCCACATCGCGTCTATGCTATTCAAAAGCATCAATGTTGCCATTAATCGCGGCGACTGGCTGGCGGTTCAATCTAGTGTCCAACGACTTCGCAACCTGCATTTCAAGCCCGAAGACGAAGCGAAGCATAAAGCTAAAATGTTGGCTTCGCTAGGCCTGTCTCAACTTGCTTCATCCTCTTACCATGCTGCAGCAGTAAGCTTCCTAGCAACAGACCCAGCCATTACAGATAACTACAAGGAGGCAATATCCGCCAATGACATTGCTGTATATGGCGGTCTATGCGCCCTGGCCTCCATGGATCGTGCCGACCTGCAGACCCAAGTCCTGGAAAACAAATCATTCCGCAACTTCCTCGAACTAGAACCTCACATCCGTCGTGCGATCTCCTTCTTTTGCTCCTCAAAATTTCGCCCGTGTCTGGATATCCTGGAAGCCTATAAGGCTGACTACCTCCTCGATCTTCATCTCCAGAAACACGTCCCTGTCCTCTACTCTCGTATCCGCACTAAGGCTATGCAACAGTACATCATACCTTATAGCCGCGTGGTGCTAGACGCGATGGTAAAAGTGTTTTCGCCGGGGCAAGCGGTGATGAAACCGGGCACGGATGGCGCCATCGATTTGAATTCGCCGTTTATCGTTGAACTTATCGATATGATTCAGAAGGGGGCGCTGGATGGGCGCATCGATGTTGAGAAGGGCGTGCTTGTTACCAAAAAACAAGATACAAGAGAAAAGCTGCAGCGGTCGGCTATTAATAATGCAACGGAATATTTCAATATGGCACATATACAACTCCTGCGACTGAATATTATTCATGCTGGCTTGGAAATTCCGCCTGTAGGTGCTGACAGGGAGAGCAGGCGTGCAATGCGTGTCAAAACTTCTGCGGCAGATGCAGGGAAAAAACGGTTTTCGCTAGGCAGAGGGGCGAAGGAGTCGAAAGAAATGGAGTGATATAGATAACACTGAATATGGAAAGGGTTTGGAGGGTAATGGATATCCTTGGGCAATCAGTCACCTCTTCATGAATTACAGGTCATTAGGTTTGACTTGCTTTGGCGGTGATGATCGTGACACTATGGGTGTTGAGTCCTTCCCTATCATGATGTATTAGAAAAATGGCAGTTCAAGGGGTCCTGCGGGAGTATTTATTTTTTGCAAAACTTTCTCTACAAGGTTATATACAAAATATTGATGATCATCATACCCATACTTCACCAGCCATAAAAGAGAATACAAAAAAAAAAAAAAAAAAAAAAAAACCCCTCACAACTTCGCCCTCTCCTTCCCCTTTTCCAAAATCTTCACATCCTGAAACGGGACTCCCAAAAACTGCCACATATAATGAAACCGATCACTGCCAAAAAACGGTTCTTCCTTGCCCTCCGCGTTCCTTACCCAGAACCACGGCGCGCCAAACGCGCCCCGATCGAGCGCCTCCTTTGTCCGGTCCGTCAAAGCCTGTTTCCCCTCAGGGCTCTGCGCGCTCTTCATGATGGTTTCAATCTCCGCGTCGGAGTATTTCTCTTCACGTAACAGGGCAATCATATTCTCGGGCTTGCTAAGGTCGATGTGACGGTAGAACATGTAGGTCCAGTAGAGGAGGAAGGTGTTTTCGAAGCGGGAGCGGGGATAGTTGGCTTTTATATAGGTGGCCACCCGTTGGGGCTGTTTGGGTCGCCTTTGTTAGACAGGGGATATAGGGGATGTATGGGGATGTATGACTAAGGGAACGCCGGGGATGTGTTTGTGAGGAAATTACCAGGATAGTGAGGGGAGGGAAGAAAGGGGGTGGTGACATGTCCTTGACATGGAAGTATTTGGCGGCTCGCTCACGGTCAAATTTTGCCGTATCTCGCCTTTACGGGGTTTGTCCATGGTGGTGAATTGCCTTGGTGGAATCGGTGGATTGTTAGCCTCTCTGTCTAGTTAATTGATCCCTGGAAATTCGGTCAATGGGTTTGGTGTTTACCTGAGCCGGCATTTATTCCTCCCAGAAAGACGGGGAAGATCCTAGAATGCAGATTGGTATGTTTTAGAGCAAATCACTTGGCGCAACGGTTATATAATTATACGTACTCGACCTCAATGCCATGCGATGCTAGCAATTCACGGTTCTTGAGGAGGTGTTGGAAGGCGAAGAAGGAATAAGGAGAGGCTAAACGATAATTAGTGTTATTGCTCTTGTCAACGTGAGTTCATCATGTACCCAAATGACGTGAGGGACCATACGGCAGTCGAAATATGCTTCTATCTTGCCGCCCATTTTATGTGTGATCTCAAGTTTGCTGCTTCCGGCCAATCGATAGGAAGTAATAGTAACTTCAGAGATATTATCACCGAGGATCCTCCACATATAGAGACCAAAGAAAGGAATTATATGGACCCAGTTGTATAACTAGAACAGAAGGTCATAAATTGCAAACCACCTGGGTACAATGTGGGTATCTGCAGCTGTTTATCTATAATTTGCAGAGATGTTGAAACCTCCCTGCGCAGACCGGGTGGAGATGCCGAGGCCCAATGCTCCCGGCGTGTCCGTGCGTTCGGCTGATCAGCTACCGCGTCTTTTCGGGCCGAAAATCCAACCCGATCGACAAGAAGAACAGGAATATCTGATATTCAACCCCAAAACATTGCCGAAGTGAATAATATAGATTCGCATCAGGCCAATTTATTGTGTCCTAGGGTAGTTTTCGAAATCTATCTGACCTATTTACGAAAGCTCCATTGGCCTCTCTAGATAAACTCATTTATGAACGCTATCACACTTTTTTTTTCTCAGAATCTCGAAGTGCTACATACGCCAGGTTACCTACTCATTTCGGTATCCTAACAGTAGATAAGTTATTAATATATACTGCTGTAGTGCATAGAAAGGATCATAGCAGCTATGCCAACCACCAAACCAGTCGCATTGGTGATTGGAGCGTCTCGCGGAATCGGACGCCAAATCGCCATCGACCTAGCAAAGGAAAGCTATGCCGGTTCGTGTTGCCCTCGCTGCCTCGATCTCTAGTCAATTTGAAAGAACAATATCTAGTAAAATGTGACTGCTAAATAGGCTGCCTTCTTTAGTTGTTGTATCTGCGAAAACAACCTCCGACGCCAGCAAAACCACCCCATTCCCTCCAGATCCCAACTCTCCAGAATCAACTATCAACACAGTAGAGCGGGAAATCAGAGAAGCGGGTGGTGATGCTGTGGCACTGGCAGTCGACACTAGAGACGATGATGCTGTCAACCGTCTCGTCCACAAGACCGTCGAGATCTACGGGAAACTAGATGTTCTCGTCTATAACTCTGGAGCCATATGGTGGTCATCCGTTGAGGACACGCCCGTCAAGCGATTCAAACTCATGCAACAGGTCAATCCGGAGGGCCTGTATTCTAGCATACAGGCGGCGTTACCTTATTTTGCGAAGAATGGATGGAAGGGTAGGATTATTGTAGTGTCACCGCCTATATATTCAAGATTTTTCCGGGGGAAGACAGCATACGCTATGGGTATGTACCAGTATTTTTAGGCCAATCAGACCATTTGTTGCGCTTGTGAGATTATTTGGTATTAATAGAGCATCCGTTTATCTTTATCAGGCAAGATCGGAATGAGCGTTTTGACCAAGGGGTTGGCAATGGACTTTATCCGCCAGGGACGCAAAGACATGGCGATTACAAGCATCTGGCCTGCTGTGGTATGTCATGGCCTATGGTTTACCTCTATGCAGTCTTCTTTCACTTCTTTCAGTCTCTGTTTTTTCTCCTCTTGGTCCTACCGTCGCTTCGGCACTAACCACAGGTAACTAAAACCAGTCCATCGAATCCGCCGCAACCAAACGATCCACAGACAAAGACCCCTCGTTCGCAAAAGAACTCCGAAAACCTGTATGACATGGATACTTCCCTGTTCCCCGATTCCCAATCCCCCCAAAGGAGAACAAAACATAAAAAAGCTAATTTTCATCCTCTTCCAATAAAACGCAAAGACGATTTTCTCCGCCGCAATCATAGGAATACTACATGCTCCTGCATCCACTGTAAATGGCCTCCTAACTTTAGACGAAGACTTCCTCCAAGAGTATTGCGGCGTGACGGACTTCTCTGAATATAATACCGTGCCGGGTTCGAGTCCGAGACGAATTATGCCTGCCAAATTCCCCACGTTGGAAGTTGAGGAGCAAGAAGATGAAGGGCGAAGGGTGGATAGTACGGTCTTCAGGGTTGCAGAGGGGAAATCGAGGTTATAATCTATTTTCTTCTTTATTAGCGAAGACATAGTTTTATGATCATTCATTTTGCTGCGTTTCCCCCAAATCCCTTCCATCTGTGAAATGAACAGATAGGTAAAGCAGACTACATAGACAGGCATACGTGGAACCAGATATTCTCCTACAAAAATGAAGACGAATATTGTGCAAAAATCTTTACACTGGAAGATCCAACCCGAACCTCGAGTGAAGGCCACTCAAAATTCAATCTAACACTTGGGTAGGGACAGATTCTTTTCGGGCGTCATAATCCCTCTAGCAAATGTGAGTTAACATTGAATAGTACTGTCATTAGAAATAGCCGTGGGTATAGGACTAAGTTGGGACATTGTGACTGGACCGATTTCTGTTCCTTCTCCATGATTGCTTGTCTTTTTTGGCGATCGCAGGGCAATCGAATCGAGCACTCGATCAACCAACAGAGCTGAAATCAAATAGATTATGTGTCAGTGCTTCTTACACCACGTAAGATACTAGTCAAGGTGAGGGAAGCTTGGGATATATCTGAATAACTCACCTACGAGCAATACCAGCGTAAACGTAAAAATAATCATAGGGTTTGTCATAAAGCTATAGACCAGACGGAAATTCGTCACAATTGCAACCATACCCAGCAGGAGAATTCCCAGCAAAACACGCGTGGTAATAGCCACCCAAGAGTATATCTTCCCTGCATGACGCTGCGTAAGGAAAACGAAAGTGGCGAATATGAACATGGCGGCGGACGCGACAATAAAATAATACATGTACACAAATCCCAGCATCTCTAAATACAACATCAGCAGCTTGTCGCTGTCCACCATGTGGGTTGCTGGCGTTATTCCCATGCTTGAGAAGAGGCTCGCCGTCACGTTTCCCATCAGGTCATGAGAACGTTGGAGGGTGAGAGAACCCGGGCCATCATCCGACGAGCACAGTGGAGGGTTATCTCGGAGCGCTTGGAGGATGGATTGGATACAGCGTTGTTCGTCTTTGGCACCTTGGGAATAGTCAATGTCCATGTCAGTGATTGTGCTGTTGAGCAGGTCGATGGCGAAATTTGGGTCTGGTCGAGGCGGTTCGCATGCAAAGAAAATGGTGTTACTCAGATACTTGAGTTTGAGAGATATATCTAAAGTTAAGGCAAGTATCTGGGAGCCCTCTGAGAGGAGAACAAGCACGACATGGAACGGGAAGTGCAGTTGGGTCCAGATCTGTTGTTGAGTTGGACCATATTTCATTCGAGGAGATATATCGAAGTATGATTGCCATAAAAGGTACTAGGATAACGTCAAATCACATTTCCATCTGTTCATATAAGTGCCGCGGGAAGAAACATACCACTGCCGTTGTCACGCCAAGTATATGAACAAAGGACCATTTCGTCCAGCCACCAGAGCCAACAGTTCTGTTGACGATCCTAATTATGGAGATAACGCCTTCCCCAATAATTATAAGCGTGAGAAGTCCCATGCGAACATTGAGATGGGTATCTTCAAACCCAATTCCTGGCGTTCGGCTCGATACAGACATAACAACCAGAGTTTCAATAGCAAATATTAGAAACCAAGAAGTCCACACATATTCTCCTCTCGTGCTCGTGATGTTATTAAACACAAAATATAGCTAACCACCGAGTCAGCCTTGATCTCATACTAGAGATACGCTCACAAAACTCACCCCGGTGTAGGTAAACCCCGTTGCCATAAAAACCAACACTATCAGCAGCAACCCCTTCGAAGCCAATCCCATTGTACGGTGAAGGAACATTGCGGCTATTGAATACTCGAGGCTTAATAACAAGCGACTGCAGGCCAGAAGCAAGCTCAACGAACGGAATGCCCAGACGTTCTCATCGCGGACTTGCGTTGCGAAGCCAGAGCCGGTAGAAGCAAATCCAACCATCGTCGCAAGCTGTAGCGCTTTGCAAATCCTCTCAAATATAGAATCCTGCGCAAAACGAATGTCGAATAAGGACACCTGAAGCCATGTGAACCATATGATGCTGAGGAAGCTAACATAGGACCACAATGCTATTTGAAGTAAGTACAGAATTAGTAAGGCTGCGGTGTTTCGTTGTAGACATGACGATTCTAACCTTCTAGATTATTGATTTCATGAGTAGCAGTGAATGTAGAAAGATTTGCGACGAAGAACAGATCGAAGAATAACTCGATAGGAGTTGAGTCAGTATGTTGATGAAGTTGTGGATGCGTTCCGTCCGTTTCTTCGAGCGGCGATTTAATCCAAGGAACACAGCGATGTGGTATTCTAAAAGAGCGGGTTAGCCGGCTGATCCACCATAACATATTTCAGAGCATAAACTTAACCTTTTCCTTCCAGACCAAATGATAGACAGAGATTCGCAACTGAAAGCAACGGATCGTGGGCGAACCATGATGCCACGAATAACTATGAGGGCCAGGATGATCCTCAAAGTGCAATATTCAACTGTTAGACACGGGCAGTTGGTTTAATTTACTCTCCTTTCTTTTGCCTCGACGAAAAAATACTCATTTGGTCTGTTCATGGGCAGGCGCGGGTTTGGTATCCGCCACGGCAGGTGTTTGATCACTGCCCGTAGCAAGAGCAACAGACACTGCCAATATTCAGCAAAGGAGCCCGTTGTTCTTCGCAGCTCGATCAGTCCGGAACCTCAGCTTCAGATGGCGCTTCGGAGTGTCCTCCCATATTTTCCAGCCCACGCTGGCCCTGGACGTCGGTACCTGGTAGGAGATTGCGATCACCCGGGTTGAGCACTGCCTCTGCTTTCAGTCTCTCGTAGTTCTCTCCAGCCTTTTTCAGCAGTGTTTGGATCTCCACTTCTCTAGCTGCGATCTCCACTTTCTCCTTTCGAAGTTCCTCCAGCTGCAGGACAAGCCGCACCTTTGAGCTCTCTACGGAGCTGAGGGAACTCCTCAGGCGAGCTATATTATCTGCAAGACGAGGGAGGGGAGTTATCTTAGGCGGCGTTTTTGATCGGGCGGGAAGACTTTCGTGGTCGCGTCGGAGACCGTCC